GAATTAATCACCTCGTGACCTATGATGAATTTGTTTTTGTGTATCTGTTGATCGACTTAATTAGCTGATTACGAATGAATGGTTGTGTTATGTATGGCATCGTTTAGGCCATGCGAAGTTCTGGACGGAACTCGACTCAGTGATTTGGAACTAATTACGATATAACCGTCGCTATTCGGACTACTATTTCTGACAGTTTGTATTCCCAATTATTAATGTAGTGAACGATTAATCAAAAGATATGACGTGTTCAGTACTTAGTGTGATTGGCTTTATGATTGAAGGTTACGCCCTAGAGTCTTTTTACTGCTTTGTAATTGGTTAATGTTTTGAAAGCGAATAAAGAGTTGTTTTAGTTGGTCTTGGCGAGTACACCACGATAGACGCAGTCCAGTCCTGGAGAGTCTTGGGGCGAGTCTTGACCAGCTGCTGCCTGCCAGAATACATATCTTAAACATGGAAGACTAAAGTACAGCAAGAAATCTCTATTTTTGTATAGTATACTTAATCCCCTATTAATACACCTTGAGACAATCGGTTTGCATGAGCCATATACATATATTTGCATATTCTCATAGTAACTGTCACGCTTCGAAAGGGTTGTAGCATTATAAACCATCTTGTAAGTCGTATCTAGAAATTCGCCAAACAATGATTGTACAGGCTGTGTTACATGGACACTACTGGTGAGAAAGAACCTATGCATTTGACTGATTTTTAGCAATAGCGAGATTAGCACTGGATGGCGTGTGACTGCCCTGAAATCTTCGATTGAACAGGCTGAATAAGATGGTCCTGTAATGACTGTTGTCACAGTGTGTCGGTCTTGATTGTTTTTTATAAGAGAGGAACTCGAGTTATTCGTATATTTATTTATTTGTTGTGGCACCAGGACCAGGATGTTGACCTTATAAATAATAAGCACAGAACAGTTTGAAATTGGAGATAGTTACGACAGGAAGACCTAACCCTGTATCTCGATGGTTTCATTTATTAAACGTAATATACAATATGACGCCGACATTTTGACAAAATAAACGGTGCAAAATATATATCCCCGGTCTCAAAAATGAAACATTCAAGGAGTCCATATTCTACCTCTCATCACATTGCATGTTTGAAAAAAACAAGAGCACCATGCCAACTCTACTTTCAGAATTGAGATCGATACTCACGATAGACATCTGGTACAAGACATTGAATATATACATTCACTCTCGATGTCGGCATGAATAGGCCAAGCTCCAAGGAAACGACAAGCGACGTATTCAAGTCCAGTACATGAGTTGTGTGTTCTAACATTAACGAAAAATGTTGCTATAGGGAAACTCACGTAAACCGATTATACGTGTCGAGACAAGATTTAAAAATACTCGTACGGGTTTTTCCCAATAAAATGAATAAAAAACATAATAATAATGTTTTAACATCAAGTAGTTTAGGTTAAACTATAGTTCATCTTGAATAATCATGACGTCATAATAGAATCAGTGCATAAATTAGCATGAAATATCATAACGACCATAAAACGATGTCTAAATAAGACATCACAATACAAATGTGTGCATAAATTATCATAAATTACCGTGTACCGGAATTTGAATAATTATGACGTCACTATATTATTGTGTGAATAAATTTGCATAGATTAAATATCAAATAGAACAAGTAACGCAGACGTCGTGAATAAATTAGCATGAATTTTAATTTTTTTAAACGGTACGAGCAATGACATCACACCCCGAATGAATTTTCTGAATGAACGGTAGATGGCGCTCACACACACACGCACATACATTAACCCAGTAAAACTGCGGGGGGGGATATCTGTCATAAGAGTAGATTGAGTCCGGTAAAATTCTCGATATATCTGTTCACATAAGCATCCTTTAATTGTCTACCAAATGTCCCTCGACATCTACACAACAAGTAATACAAGACGTATTGACCACACACACGTTGTATAGAATGATGTTTGAAGTATGCGATGATGGTAGATCTTCGTACGGATGTTGTTGTTTTTTTCGAGAAATCTCTTAAATTCCACGTAATGGTGGACTACATACGAATTAAAATATTACATGCTATATATTTAACAGATCGTTTCGCAGAGTAACTTTGAAAGTATTCTCGCATGACGTAAATAATGAGATTACGGGGTAACGTAGCGATTTTCGTTTTCCCGGCGTAGAAGATACATCCTTACCTCCTTGCAGAAGATTCATCGGCAGTAGAACAATTTGGACTTTTCGTGAAAGAGTTATCTTCTCGACATCTGCAGAAGCTTGAAGTATGCAATGATTATTGATCTACATATGAGAAATCTCTTAAATTTTGCGTGTTGACTACTGTACGAGTCAAATTATTCTTCGTGGTAGGTGAAATTTCAAACAAGAACGTATTACCTAAACCCACTTTATATAACTATCGGTTTTATATTATTTTCTCTTTTTTCTTCTACGACAAAGGAGTGATTCTGATTAGAAAAGAGTGACGGCATAAAAAGAGTGTACAGACTGCTTTACACATTGGAAGAAAGGAAGTAGGAAATATACAAAAAAATGACAAAATATTTATATGTAGAATCAATTATTTGTTATTTATCACTGTTTATTATTACTAACTTTTGTCTGGTTTTTAATCGAATTGTTTACGTACTTACGTATTTTTCATGGCGATAAAAAAAGAAATATTTAACAACGCTATACCAATAATTCTCGCTTAGTTTGTTTAAATTTCTTCCTGTACCCATGTTTTTATGCAGAGTCGACGCTCTCAGTCGACATATTCTGCAAGCGTACGAGTTGGAAAGATCGTCTCTGTCGCAACAAATTTGATTTCTTCGCATGTCTTAGTTCTGTTGATCTCATGAAACAGTCTCCTCCGGTTTTCTATATTTTTTATTTGACTGCCACAAACAATGCACATTGTTTCCTTGGTATAGGCGATTTAATAGTTTTCTTTTTGGTTGGAGTAACTGTATTCATTGTGTTCATAACGTGAACAACCAACACATTCAGGAGGTCAGCCATTTAGAACAAATTTGCATACATTATGTTAATATAATTTATTTTGTGACGTCAGCATCAACTATGAAAAATTCATATCAACTACAAACCTGCAGACGGGCAGTCTCTCGCATTCTAATTCAAAAAGTAAATACAATTTGTTACGCAAATTGGTATAGAATACTAAAAATAATTCGAATGCAAAGTTCAAAATATTCATATGAGAAATATGAGAAATTGTTTAAAATACACAAATGTCAATTTCAAATCATTTATTAATCAATTTTGTATAATTCACTTGAGCTTTGTTGTCGCTAAAACGTCATGATAAATGAGCTAAAGGCGAGAACAGCAAATTGAATCTTAAACCTAGTGTGTGTGAACAACTTGACCGTGATATGTATTCTCTCAAACGTTGGGTGTACTACAGAAATTTGTTTGGGCTGGAATCTAGAAACACAGTACATAGGTACTGCAGGCAATTGACATTATTGAACGCAATGGGTTCATGTTATGGGGAAAGTAATTGGTCTTTCGTTCACAACCTCTTGGCGGAGTTGATAGGTAGTGTCATGACACCGAATATTTATTGATTGTGTGTACCTTTTATTCTTTCTCCGTCATTGAAATACACATAATGAATCGCGATTTCACGGTCACGTACTCAAAGAATCGAGGAGTATTAAAGCAATTTAATGTATTTGGTAAGGTGATTGATCAATAGCTGCTAGTGTCATATAATGGCATATTGTACACAATAAACACGTCATATTATCACGAAGATGATATTTCTCAATTTAGTTAGCGTTTTGTCCGCTGGTGTGCACATCAGAAATAATTATATAGATTACTTTTAGTGTTTGGCATTTTCAACGAGATTGTCTAATAAGTCTTATTAATTAAACTTTAATAATCCTTTTCAATCGATTACTTCACTATAGTTGTGTTACGTTAATTTTCGCAAATTAAACGCTGCTTCGCTAAGTATGTGATCGCTCACATAATGGCAATGATATAAAGTTATCGCCCAATGTTAACCCATTTATCATATGACCTTGCCAAAACGAAATAAATTAATTTCATGAGAATTTTGTTTTAGAGGTAGTTTTATGAATCCTTGCATCCGGGGACTTTCTAGTTTGGGTTTGTAATGTTCCGCAATGGCGAGCATTTGCACGAACTTTCAATTTAAGGCCATGATTCCATGTGGGAACTTGCCTTGTTGGTTTGCAAAGGGGCAGCAACATCATCATTGCTAGTCAAAAAATGTGCTGATTATTTAATGTATATTTGTTGTATTCGTGGCATTCGGAATAACAAAACTACATGGACTATATATTAAATGTTTAACTTTAATGAATCGATTCATTCATGAAACATGTTGAAACTCAGTCTACAATCGATGAATGACCCAGTAAGGTTATATTAATACTACTTTTAAACAGATTAAATTGGCATAATTAACAGTGTACAGGATATACAAAATATGGATTACGCTTTAAGCTAATCTCATATGCTAATCACATATCTGATAGACGCATTTGCGTTCATCCGGTTCGGTCACTTAACAGTAACAGAAAAGAAAGTTAGCAGTAAGTTATCACTGTACACAAGAATAGTAGAACGTATTTGAGGCTAAATAAAACATAAATTTCAACTAAATGACAATTTACATTATTTCCAAGATGGCAACATACGTAGCGTTCACACCATCATCGCCGCCAACTTGATCATCATTATGTCGTTATGCCTCTCGTTGCGTTTGGATTTTGTTTATTGCCGCACTGTTAAAATAAAGTATCTTAATGAAAATTATTCACCTTCACATCGTGCAGGTGACTGAGTTAAAACGCAGTAACATACGTGATGCACATCAGCTAATTTTCCCAGAAACTGAAGTGCAGCTGCCTGTCTTGTGTAATCACACGTACCAGGTCTCCCATGATGTGGAAAACCTTCTACGTACGAATTCGTTGTTTACGGACTATACGATTATTTTGTCTGCTGGATTCGCAAAGTGATTGGTTCTACTGTTAACATAAGTATCCCAGCAAATGTAGAACAGCCACCACAAAAATAAAATGACGCAGTGTAGTTTTCGGTTACATCGTATAACCATCCTAAAATGAAATAAAATATTACTGCAATTGAGATAAGGGTAATATTATTTATGATAATATGCGATGGTTTAAAACTCTAATTTAGAGTTGTTGATATAACCAGACTTTGAAATGAGTTGTATGACTATGATATTGAAACACAATTACATGTTTTATAGTACGAGTTAAGGGTTTCTTTTTTGAACATTTTAAGAAACTTGTAAAGTTTAAAAGTAATAAATATATATTACCAGCGACGGTTGGTCCAATCATTGCGCCCAATCCGGAAAACGCTGATGCCAGAGCAACGGCAGCAGTAAGGTTTGGTCCGCCAACATAATCTTTCGTAACATGGGAAAAAAGGCTGAACACAATGCCAACGAAAAAACCGTACAATGCAGAATATACGGCATATGTAACATAGTACATTGTCAGGTGGGGACTGAGTATTGTAGAAATGCCAGCCAAGAGTAAACTAACACCAAACAGACGTCCACTATTAATGCATTTGATAAGTAACAATAAAGCTGGGGCGAGCCTTCCGATTATGCCACCTATTGCAAATATAGAAATAAGAAGTGAAACTATACTAGGAGTCGAGAGTTGGAGATCATTTGCATAAAGCACGATAAATGAAGGCACGGCAACAGAGCCTAATCCGATACCAACAAAGGCGCAGACAATTTCAAGAGCAAATGGGGGATGCCTGCAAATTAATTTTACATCCAATGCATGAACTATTCTGCCGAATGTAGCACACCAGTCATTACGATGTCGCCTTGTAGAATCTTGATCATCAGTGGGACATGGGACGTGATCGAGTTTCATCTGACTGGTTGTGTCTGGAGGTGCAAACAAAGATGCTGAGATAAACATATGGGCGTTGATTGCTGACATCACAATAAACGTGCCTCTCCAACCGTACGTGTCAATCAGTAGTTGAATTATGGGTGTAAGTAAAAATGGACCAATTCCAGATCCCAATACCGCTAGTGAATTTGCTAGTGTGTATCTCTTCTTAATGTGCAGAGGTATAATTCCAAGACAAGGGCTCAGTATTAAGCTGTATCCCAGTCCTGTGGGGGGAAAAATGTCAACGTTATACATTTACTCGTTAATACTCTTTTTTAAATTTGTGAGTCACTGTTTTCCCAATGACATATAGATGAAAACATGTTAGTGGGTTTGATCACCATCCGGCAGTACATTCCTTGTACTTACCTTATAGCACAACAAAGTCATTTAATCACTGATCTTTAATTTATCAAATATCACATCTTGGGTCAGTAAGCTGTAAAACCATCCCAGTATTATTAAAAATAGTGTGCACCAGTGATCATATTGGTCATCAAAAATTAACCACTACTTGCAAAAAAACATTTAAAAAGCAAAATTTAAGTGGAAAATAAGTCACCTATTAATACTCCATATGTTATGTATAGGGCATTAACACTTGGTGCAAAGGAACTGCAAAAGTATCCGATGGATGATATCAATGTTCCTGTCATTATTGTTGTTCTATACCCAAATCTCTTCACACAGACGTTAGATAGTGGACCTGGTGAGTAATAAAAAAAATTACAACAAATGTGACTATTGGAACTGAACCAGCAGTAGACCATCAAGTCATATATCCTAACATCAAAAATGTATTTACCAAATTTGAAAAAAAAACTGAAGAAGCATTTTAAAATACCACATTTCAAAATAGCAAAATGGCTGCCAGTCGCCCATTTTCGACCGAATTACTAAACCACAGCATGTGCATATGTCCCACATTAAGTACTCATCAAACTAGACATCCACTTCTGCGATACGTTGTTCAATATTCCTAGTCGGCTGAATATAGTGAAACGTTATACATCCCTGCATTTTACACTTCAGTTTACACGAAACATGCACAGGCAAAAAATGAACTGTAAAGTCAAACAAATGGTCCTATTGTATCGCAAATTACGTTATTTTGGAATGAACCAATGGCTTTTTCAATCATGACCATCGCAGTCTATTTACAGAATGTTATGCTTCGCTTATCAATTACCTTTATCAACAACTATTGTAAGCTGATAAACATCAATATACATTGCATAAGCAGTGCATGACTAGACGGCCACCGTTCAACCGGAAGTCACCAAAACTGTGTTCATGTGTAATGACAGAGACTTCACGTACGGACATTCCGTTTCCACGCCGTTACACTATTGTTTAGAACACTTGGCATGTTTAAGATGGAGATTATAGACATATATTACAGGAATTTGATAAATAGATTGTTTACTTATGGTATTTAGTAGTGGCAACTTTGCAAGGCTTTAACCGTGAGACACATGCATGGTAATCACGTGATCGTGCCAACGACTGCAGCGATTGGCTGATCGCATGTTTATTCTACCACGCCTAGGAGACTTGACTTTTAATGAGAGAGAGTGTGTAACCTATGTAGGAGGGGGAAGCAGGAGAGAACTGTACAGCGAGGGGTTACCTCAGCTGACTGTTTGGGTGAATAAAGCTGGACTATCTGTAATAAACTAATGTGTATTTATTTTGGTCGAATCTGGTATCTCTACGTGTAAGTGATCAGCCAAGCGAGACGAAGTTTCCGATCCAGGAACAGGAAGGTCCCTGTTCATAACACATGGTGGAGAACTAAATTACTTCTACGTCAATACCAATGTCATTTAGGAGGGAGACGCGCTCAAATACAATAGCACGAACAAATAGCCGAGACACCACAAATTGAAGGTCTGTTACAGAACTCCAACATTATCTACAACATTACGAGAACCAGCTACAACAGTTGTCTGGCTGGCGACATGACATATAAACCCGTTTAGAGACCTACGCAAACCAAGTCGACGAACAACAAAAGCAAAACACGAGTGAATTCTGTAAATTCCAAGATATAATAAAAAACATAAAGACACCGGGAGAGACGAGAGAGACGCAGAAAAGTACTTTCTGACAACAAGAACCGTGATCACTACAGGTATATTACAACAAAAATGGTTAAGTCGTTTCAAAAATTACGTGGAAGTCAACGACCTCAATAGTCCACGTCGAATAGCCGCCGTTTACTTCAAATGAAAGGTAATGCCGAGTCTTGGTTTCAAGAGACAATCCCAAAAAGCACACATATATAA